CGCAAATTTGTCCGCTAATGGCGCAGGCGATTATCTGCGGGGCCGCTTGGTGTTGTGTGTCCCGCGGGCAGGGCCTGAGTTACAAGCGCCAGGAATCCAGACGGTGTTTGGAGAGGGGGGGCGGAGGGGGAGGCCGGTAATTAGTGTAAACCCTTTGTCTGCCTTTGATACCCACAGCTTCTCCCCGCCGCGGCTTCCTCCGCCTGGAGCGCGGGCAGAGAGAGGTGGGGATACAGGACCCCCAGTCCCTGAGGCCCAGTACTCGGGTGGCGGGGGCTCTGGAACCCTCAGCTGGAGAGTGGTGTTTCCTCACCCGCTTCAGCGCTCAGTGACCGTTCCCGATTACCCCCAGGTCCGGACAGGCAGAAATGACTCCTAGCCCCGCGTTGCTGCTGCTGCTGCTGCTGCCGCTTCTGCTCCTGGGGGCCCTCCCGCCGGCTGCCGCCGCCCGAGGTAAGTCCTGGCGCCCAGCCCAGTCGCCCTGGCTTCTGCCAGTGCCGCCCCTTTCCCGCCTGGCCATGAACCCTGTCCCAGTGCCCGCCTGGCACACGCGCTCATGACCCGCCTCTGCCAGCCCCTCTCTCATCTTGTTCCCCATTGCTCTTGGGCTGGCCTCACTGTGGGCTCCCCCAGCTGTCCTTATGGGCACCCTCAGCTCACTCCCCCGGGCACTCCCAGATCACCCACAGTGTTCCTCACTTAAGCTTCATGGCTAGGCGGGCTGTAGTCCTGTTCCCTCCTCCATAGTCTTGCACACACGCTCATTCACATGCATACCTGCAGGTGAGGGCAGCTGGTTTTCCTGTAGATTCTTGGGGAGTGAGCTATTTGTGGCCACAGTGGGCCCAGTTAGGTTCCTGGGAGTCTGCAAAGACCCCTAGTCAGCCAGGGTGGGTATGAGAGATGATGCTGTTCTAAACCGTCCCCCTTCCAGGCATCCTAGCCCTAAGCCCTGGGTCTGCCCATCTCTAGACAGGTGAAGCAGGGTAGAGTCTGGGGCATCCAGGGTGCAGGGGTCACTGCAGGGCAAAGGGCCATCTGAAGGCAGATGCCTGAGGACCGCGTACTTTGTTGCCACGGATTGTCTCTCAGCACACGCTATACCACGGCCCGGATGCGTCCTCACAGGTGTGATGTCCAAGTGGGCAGCCCTGCCCCAGACCCAGCTTCAGCAAGGGACATCCACGGCTGATGGGTGATGCGTGCCCGCCATGTTCTAGGATCAGGAGGGCACAGTGTTGGCCTCCCCCATGGCTAGGCGGGACCTGAGGCCAGGCCTGCCCTTTGGGTGTGTTGGCCACTCAGGATCGTCCTTGCTCAGTCCACCAGTCCTCTGAGGCTTCGCACCCCTCCCCCGCCTCCCAGCCAGTGCACTGAGCCCAATCTGGCCTTATATGGCCACGTACGGGTGTTGGGTGGCGGGCGGCGGCCCAGGTGGGCCTTATGCCACAGTACCCCCCCGCCCGCCACCCGCTGGGGACTTGCTGGCTGGCTGGAGGGTGGGGGCTGTCCAGGCGTGGCCAGGCTGGGCGGCTGTTCTGAGGGTGCAAATGGCGTCCTGGGCATTGCGGGCTCTCAGGCCATGCCGGGTGAGCACCCCCTCAAGGCCAGCGGCCTGGACTTTGATTCCTCTTTTATCTGCTTGGACTCCCCCATCTCTGCACCTGCCTGTCCTCTGGCTACTTGGCCAGGGAAGCTCTGGAGACCTCTGTCCTGCCATGTCACTGGCCGGAGATTGAGGTTGACTGGTGGCAGTAAATGGCAGTGGGTAGGCAGGGCTGGCCTCTTCACTGAGGGGCCCCAGAGGAGCCACCCCCTCCGCCCTTGTCCCGCTGGGCCATGGCCTTGGGGCTGTGCCTCATATCCGGCCCTGGCTCTGCATGGCGAAGGCCCTGGCAGCCCTAGGGAGCTGGGAGGTAGCAGCTTCCCAAGGGCAAGGGCCTCTGTGGTTTGGGGTGGAGGTGGGGAGGAGCGTTTTTCCTGAATTCTGCTGTTTCCCTCCAGGCCCAGCCTGGACTGGAGGGCGAAGTCAGTTCCAAATGCGTTCTTACTTCTCCGGTGAGCAGGCCAGTTTGGACCGTCAGTGGGGCCCATGAACGAGCGCGGAGAGTTTGGGTTGTTTTTTGAAAGCCGTTTCCCTGTGGTGTCACAATTTCTGGAATCCTTACGTCGCTAGACTTGGATCGCATTTAATAAGTTCCCCTTTCCCCAAAGTTTCACAATCTTGGTGGGTTTGTCTTAAACTCTCTTTTTTCTAACTTGGAAAAAAATAGGATTGGGCTTTCTCCGTTTCCATTTTATTTCTTGCAGTGAGAAGTTCTCATTTGAGAGATTCAGAACGAAAAACTCTTCACAAATAACTTTGAAAGAAATTGCTTCAGGGGTTTTCTGAGAAGGGCCATCTTGAAATTTTTTGCAAGGATGGCCTGGGGTGGGGGCGAGTCTCTGTGGTCGGCCCAGGAGGCCCCTCACTGGTCCTCTGGACCCACAAGACCGGCTAGGGGAGCTGACTGACCCTGCGGGCAGGGGTGCCCTGTTCCGCCGGGATGTGGTCTCAAGGATAACTCACCAACGTGCTGTGCTGGGAAGGGTCTGAGTGTGTGTGACTCAGTGATGGTTGTGACTGCATTGTGCGTTGTGCGTGGAGCTGACCTTGGTCTCCTGCCAGGCTGCAGGGGGTCTCCTCTCTCCCCCAGGGCCCTCTGGGCAGTGGCTGGCCAGTGTGCAGCCGTGGCCGAGCTGGATGTGCAGGGGCCAGCCCGGTGGCTGATCGGAATGGCCCAGACATTGTGAGATGGGGATGCGGGCCAGCCGCCCTGTTAATGTCTCGGGGGCCCCACTCCTGGAAGGGAAAATAAATCACTGTCCCCTTGAGGGGGGGAGGGAGCTGTGAACAAAGTCGTCTTTGGCTGGGCCTGGAAACGCCAACCGCAGGCTTCTTTATCCATTGTGCAGAATCAATGGGCCTCCGGGCTCTCAAAGTCGCCTTTCAGCCTGCCCGCCCTGTGCCGTGGCCCTAACGAGGGGAAATGTTGGTTTTTCCCCAGCTGCGGCCTCCAGCCTCAGGCTTGCCCAGTCCTGGTTCAGGCCCTGCTGGCAGTGCTGGGGATAGGTGGGCTGCAGCCCCACAGACTGGGCCTCTTTCTGTTGGCCACATGCCCTCCATGCAGCATGGGCCTGGTGCTTGGTCCACGTTGACCTCCTTTGCTCCAGTTCATGCCTCTTCTGGTGACTCCGGTCCTAGTGTATCCAGGCCATTGTCCCAGACCTCATGGGTACCTCATCCAGTGCTGTAACCCACCCTGCCTGTCACCTGCTCTTCCTGGCTACAGTCAGTGGGAACTCCTAGCCAGGCCCCCGGGTACCCACCTTGGCTGCTCTCAGGCTCCAGGGGAGCTGGAGGCTGCTCCTAGCCAGGATGGCTGGGGTGGGGGTGGGGCAGGAGAGGTGGGTGCCTAGTCCCTTGATGGAAAACTTCCAGGAGACCACCCCCCCTTGAAGGGTGGGTAGCAGCTGTGGCCGGGGGTGTCTGCCAGCCTTGGGCTGTTGAAACCAGAGGGCTTTCCATCTTGACAGGAAGCACAATTGCTTTTCTTCCTGCTGGGAGAGTTTGCTTCGTGAGAGAGTTCTACAAGCTATCTGGTGGCCGAGTGAATAACGGGTCCTCCTGTGGTGGGTAGGGAGAAGGGAACAAGATGCCACCCTGGCCTGGGGCCTGGAGCTGCCCTCTGGGCTCTAAGACCCTGAGCTCCATAATTGCCCAGGGGGCCTGTGCAGAGCTTGGGTTCCTCATCCAGGGTCACCTGGCCAGTGGCGTTAGGGCTGCCCTCTGAGCTCCCTATAGTCTACTTGCCCCAGCGGCGTCTTAGGGCTCAGTTGGAACCCAGCCCCATACACTGGTGCAGGCAGCATGGTGTACCCCCTGAGAGGGGGCAGCTGTAGTCTGTGGCCTCCAGAAGCCTGGGGAGCCCCAACCTGAGCTGTTTACTGCCTAGCACCCTCATGTTCTCAGCCAGTCCTCGTGAAGTCTCTGTGTGGACGGAGACAAGCTCTCTGAGCTGCTGGGCAGCACGGAGAACCCCTGGGCTGCTCAGTGGGTTGGGCTGCCTGACCTGGGAGCTGTGAGCCCCTGAGCGTCAGAGCATCAGCCAAGCACCGATGTTCCCTGAGCCTGCCATTCCTAAGCCAGAGGGGTTACAGGCTCAGGAAACACCCTTGCTGATAGCTTCAAGGTAGCAGAGGGCTGCTGGGATCAGGCATCAGAGCCTGCGGAGGACTTGGGGTCCTTCTAAGGAGGCCATGATGGGGGAACCCAAGTTCTAGGCGGGGAGGCCCAGGCTGTATCCCCTTGGGATGGAGTTTGTGTGTAGGGGCGGTGATGGAGCAGAGAGAGGGGTCATCTTAGACTGGGTGAATCTGGTAGGATCTGGACCTGGGGTGCGGGTTACCCAGGGTCCAGCTGAGCCTCCTGAAAGGGTTACACAGCAGTGACCGTCTGCCATGGGTGGCGTGTATGGAGGTCCATCCAGGGCAGTGATGCTTCGGGTGATACTCTGGTGCCTGTGGGGTGTGTCTAGGAGGTAGGGAGGAAGAGAAAGTGCCTAGGAGCTGGGGTCCACAGAAGATGTCACCTGGGTTTCTGGAGGCTCACTCAGTGCCCACCTCTGGGCTCCAGGGCTACTGGATGCTCCAGCCAGCTTGCTAGGGCATAGCTTCCTTCCACTGCCCAGTGTGCTTTGGTTTCTAGGGCAACCACCTACCCTGCGGGTCCTACCAGTTTTACCACAGACCCAGCCTCCCTGGCAGCCCTGGGCCAGCTGGTAACTGTGAGCCCTGGGCTTAGACACATGTACATAGTGTGTGTGCATGCAAGTGTATATGCACATGTGTGTGCATCTGCATGTGCACAAGCAGAGGTATGTGTCTGAGCATCTCCGTTCCAGCCTAGCTAGGACACTGGGCACTGAGACCTGATGGTCCCCATGGTGGCCACCTGTGTCCTCTCCCCTGAGAGACATCTCTGCTCTTGTTCACCCTAAGCCTTGGCTTCTGAGGAAGGATGGTAGGCCCAGGGTCTACCATATGGGTTTCCCATGTCACCCTGCACTGGGTGTCCCAGGTGGGCCTAGCTTAATCACATAGTGGTCAAGTGTGGGTAGTGGGGACTGCATCTCCTCATCATAAACAGGGGCCAGGGCAGTGTCACAGGGTTGGGACACCAGCTACAAAAGGTTCAGTGCCTGGACACCTGCCGTTATGGGCAGACACCTTGGTCCCCACCTGGGCTGGTTCTCACTGTGGTCTCTCCTAGAGAGGATGTCCAGGCAGGTCAGGCTGGACCTTCCCCACTCTTATGGTCAGGCCCACCTCACTGTCCTCTGAGCCCCCTCCAAGCCCACTCAGCTTTTCCAGGAGGGGGTGGGCCCAACAGGTTAGTGGCATCTGGCTGGCCA